TGTCTTTTTGAGATAAGGTCTCCCTATAGCCATAGCTGGCCTGGAACTCACTATGGAGAACAGGCTGACCTTGAACTCACAGAGCTCCCCCTGCCTCTGCCTCCTGAGTGTTGGGATAAAAGGTGTGTGCTACCATGCCAGGCCTAAATTCTGTATATATTTTGTTAACTTTACAACTAAGTGCTTCATTTTCTTTGGAGTGACTATAAATAGCACTGCCATTTACTCCAATGTTAATGCTGTCAGAATACCTAACTTGAATTTGGAGTGTGATTTTGATTCTGTACACTGTGGCTACACTAAACATACTTACTACTCCAGAGTTTTCTATTTTTTAAAAACTAGATTCCTTGATATTACATGGGTGGACAATCATGTCATCTGTAAATTTCTTTTCAATTGATTCTTTTTGTTATCTTACTGTAATGGCTAGACCTTCTAGTATTAAGTTGACTAAGACTAGTGAGGGTAGACATCTTACCTTGTCCTACCCAGTCTTAAAGGAAAAGCATTCAGTCTCTCACTGTTACATGCTGCTTACTAAGTTAATAAATGCTTGCTTTTAGAACTCATTACCCAGATAATTCCCTTCTACTTTAAAAAAATATTTTATTATTTTATGTGTATGAGTGCTATGCCTGCATGTAGATAAGTGCATCCATGTCATGCAATGCCTGCAGAGGACAGAAGAGGCTGTCGGGTCCCCTGGAATTGGAGTTACAGTTGTTAGCTGCCATGTGGGTGCTGGGATTCAAACCCGGGTCTTCTGCAAGAACAGTCAGTGTTCCTAACTGCTGAGCCATCTCTCCAGCCCCACTTCTAGTTTCTTAAACACTCATTTTCAACCTTCTGTGACAGGTACTCACAAGTATACAGGAGCTTGGATGACTAAATGAGTTCTCAGAGAAACTCTATTAGGTTGGGTCCAGGAATTCCAGGGTCAAGTTCTGGTCTAGATGTTCTGAGAGCTTAGAAACAGATTTCTCAGAAAATTTACACTTGCCTATTGGTCCTATACAAAAGGTATCAACATTAAATGGATCTGTTTGCCTTATAAACTACAATTAGTATTTTGGTCTAATGTGAAGCAATTTAACACAGTGTCATATACCCTGCTGAATATTGCGTAGCTGAACCAGAAACATAAATATGTGGCAGATGTTTGACATGAGTATGTCCTCCTCTCCTTTTTTCTTGAGACAAGAACTCACACTGTACTCCAGAATGGCCTGGAACTCACTACATAGCCCAGTTTGGCCTTAAACTCATGGTAATCCTCTAGCCTCTGCCTTCTGGTACTTTGGACCAAATCCAGACCTCACATGTGCTAGGCAAGTGCACTACCTACATCTCTAGTCCAAAGTAGGCAGCTAAATAAAAGTATTTAAATTCTTTGGGTCTACAAATCATTACATAGTGACAAACAGCTAGAATATTGAAAAATAAGTTCACATCAGATCAGGCACCAAATCTAAGGAAGAAGAGTAAATTGCTTGGACTTTAAGGAAGTTAGTAATACATAACATAATATTAGGAGACCACAGTGTGGTTAACAAAATGAAAACACAAGTTCTATTGAGAGGAGGCAATGTGGTGATGACTCTAAATTCATAAGCTACTTATCATAACCTGTAATGCCTTAATGGAATTAAAATGTTTATTACATGTATTTGTGTGTGTGTGTGTGTGTGTGTGCGTGCGCACATATGACATAAGCCTGGATGTGAAGGTCAAGGGCAACTTGTGGGAGTAGGGTCTGTCTTAGTACATAAGTCCTGGGAGTGGAACCCAGGTTATCAGGTTTGGTGGCAAGTGCCTTTAACCACTAAGCCATCTATCTCATCAGCCTACTCCCCAGTTTTTAAAAAACAACTCAATAATGCAATCTTCTGAGTGAGGAAGTGCATCCACATCTACAATTTCTGTAACTCATTTAAACAATTACAAAAAAAACCCTGAACTAGGAAATGGCACATTTCATGAGTACTTACTGAATCCTTGGCCTGAAATGAAGTATATTTCATTTAGTCCTTTAAAAAAATTTCAAGAAGGGGCTGAAGAGATGGCTCAGCGGTTAAGAGCACTGACTGCTCTTGCAGAGGATCCAGGTACAATTCCCAGCACCCACATGGCGGCTTTGAACCATCCTTAACTCCAGTTCCAGGGGACTCCGAAGCCCTCCTCTGACCTCTGCAGCATTGCACAACACGGTTGCACTCACATACATGCAGGCAATACACTCATACACATA